GTTAAGAACATCGAGGGATAAAAAAAGACTTTTGTTAAACTGGAAAAGTACCAAATGAGCTCAAGTGTCGGCGGGAGGCCGGTGAGAGCCAATTAGCTCTCCAAGGCATTTCCTAATCAGGGAGATGGCCAGAAAAGACATTTCCCTCGCGGAATAGATTAGGCCTTGCAAATCCAAGACTTTCGGATAACAAATGATGTTTGTCATTGAAGAGCTGGTTCCCTGTGGTGACTCACAAGTCCTCTGTGTAAACTCCAGTTTACAGTCCTCACTATGTATCCATAGACAAATCACACCAGATTTGCTGCTCTTATCTGGCTGTTGAGTTGTCCAGAAAGCACCAGGGCGGATCAATTAAAAGACACTTCTGCACTGTCACTTTTTTGTCACTCATTTTTCTCTATTACTCTGGGTCCTGTCCCCCCCTTTCCCACATGTGTTTTGCTCCCTTTGGGACTACTAGAGAAAGCAAAACGCATTGGGAGGGAGAGGAAAACTCTGAAGCAGTAGGGGCAAAGGAGTGACAAAAACGAAAGTGGGGAAGTGGCCCAAGAATCTTAATATTTTTAGTTGGGGGGGGGGAATCAATTGTTCTCTCTCTCTCTCTCTCTCTCTCTCTCTCTCTCTCTCTCTCTCGTTAGGGTAGAATAGGGTTTCCAAGTTGATTCCTCTTACCAGTGGGGGAGCCTCACCGGGCTCTGGGAGCTCTCCGCCAATGCGTGCGTGCGCAAAGCGCAAGCGCGCCGCCAGCACGTAACAGGAAGTGACGCGCTACATCGCTCACGTTGAGGGTGTGGCCCCGATCGTCGGAGGGAAAACCATAGAGTTTTCCCTCCGACGATCTGGGCCATGCCCCCAACGTGATCGACGCTGCACTTCGGGGGCGGAGTTCCCCCCGGGGCCCGATTCCGCGGCAGCGGAAATCGGGCCTCCAAAGCGGGGGTTTACCCGCCACCCGCCCCCACTTGGCAGCCCTAGGGTAGAAGGTAAGTGGCCTTTGGCCGGTGTGTTCTGCCCCTCTCCCAAGCATTTTTCTGACTCATTTAGAAGAAAAGTTTTGATGAGGGAAAGGCTGGATCAAATTTCAAATGAAATTTCACATGAAATTCACTTGGACAGTCAGTCATATTTCATTTGTATAAAACCAAAGGTGATCCAAGAGTGCCGTATGATCAGTATTACAGGAACGGGGACCAGATACTTTAAGGTGCACAACATCAATGAAACAGTATTCATACTTTTGGGGGCAATTATTGTACTGAATGGCCTCCATGGCAGGAATAATTCTGGAATCTGTGGTAAAGAACTGCTGGTGGTTGGCAAATGTATGAGTCTTATAAGCTGCCAAGGCAATGGCACATGGAGCAGAAAGACAAATATTTCTACATCATTCCATTCAAAGAATTAGCAACCACCTGGTAAATAAATCAATCCTCTGTAGCAACTTGTCACAGTGAGAATTTTAGCCTTCTCCTGCTTAACCAGATTTATGACTGGGTATAATAACAATGCTCCCTCTAAGCTGTGGAGTCTTGTGAGCAAAAATTCTACTTTGTGAGCTACTGGCATTAAAGTTGTGAGTGAACGCTTTGGCTACTGCATAAATTAGTTTGCTCTGGAGCCATCCTTCCCTGAGCTAAGACAAAAATGTATGAATCAGAGGCTAAAAAACTGTGAGCTAGCTCACACTAACTCAGCTTAGAGGGAACACTGGTAGGGTAGTAAAAATGTCTTCACCATTTGGTTAACTAATATGACAACCAACTTACTTTTATACCGTGATACCTTATTATCTGTCTGGGCACAAAGCACTCTGGTGCGAGAGATCTCAGTCTATATCTTCCTGCCAGGTACAGTAGTAAAACTTTTTTTACCACACGTGAGGTAGAAATGTGTGGTAAGTGGCTACCCAACTACCCATAAAAAGGCCTGTCTCCTTTACCTTTGGGTTGGCTTTTAACCTCTTCTGCTATTTTAAAAAGAGATACTGTATCCATGTAACAGCTGTTGAGTTCATTAAGTTGAGGATGTGTAATAGCTGTCGCCATGAGCCTCCAGCCGCGAGAGAGCAACCTCGTAGCCCAGTCTCCCGTCTTGTTATTTGATAAGCACTTGTAGCATGCAAGACTCAGCAAGGTTTCAAAATCATTCATGTCTGAGAACATCTGATTGCCTCTCAATTTCCACTTAGCTTTGCTTGGGTTTATTTAGAAGCTTTTGGTATTTGGGATTTAAAATGGGAATGTTTTGATCCAAGGTCCACACGGCTTTACAGACACCACTCCTAATGTTTGAAAATCACATGTTCAAGCTCGGATCATACCAAAGACTGATATTAGATTGGTGTGGGTGACCCCTGACACAGGCACTGAATGGTGGCCTCTCACATTGTTGCGCTCAGCGCAAAGGGCTAATTCTTCACACAAGCAAACCTCTGAGGCACCCGCCGCACTACTCTTGGGACTTGGCTTGATCCCAGAGCGTCTGAGTACTAGTCTACTCTCCAGTTTGCTGACACACTGATATTGTTAAACAGAGAGTGATTAAAATGTGGAATTCACTGCCAGAGGATGTAGTGATGGCCACAGCAATAAACCGCTTTAAAGAGCCAAGAAGCAAAATCGGGGAAGGCGTCGGCCTCTATGCCCTGTTGTTGGCCATCCAGAGGAACTGATTGGCCACTGTGTGAGACAAGATGCTGGACTAGATGCATTAATGTTTCCATCCTAAAAAGTCCTCTCTATCCAAAGCTGAAATTTTGGACAGTTAAGAATATGGTCTTTTGGATAGTTAGGAATGTTGTGTACAGCAGAAGGCTGACGGTCAGTTCAGTTGCACACGTAGAATTTCTTTTAAGGCATGCCTTTATTTACACAACTGTGTTTGATTTTTGTGATGTTCTTCCATTGGTCATGACAGATGGTGGCCAGTCTAGGCAGGTAGAGCCTGGAGGGGGAATCTTAGGGAAGGGGGGAGCATACTAGGACCAGTTCCCAGCTACTGCTGCAGCATGTTTTCATCCGCAAGCAAGATGAGCAGTAGTATGCGAGGGATTAATTTTCTGCATTCCCTTCTTAACAGGGTCGGAAATGGAATGTACAATTCCACAACCTCTATGGAGAAAGGTTGGGATAATGAAATGGAATGGTTTGGGTGGTAGTTCGTAATAGTAGGGGATAGAGGCGTCATTCTGTGGGTCATAATATCACTGCCAGTTTAGCAGGATCAGCTGGCCGTTACGGCTATGCCCTGGGGGCTGCCCCCCACCATCACCAAGGCTGCCTTGCTAGGGGTGTCCTTGCAGAACATGAAACTGGCCTCATGTCATCCAGGGCCTCCCAATGCAAGACAAGCTTTGCCTTTCCTGGGGTTGACCCTCCAAACGACAGGAGACTCCATAAAACATGAGAAGCACCATGCTGGATCAGTCCAGAGAGTCCATCAAGTCCAGCATTGTGTTCATACAGTGGCCGGCCAGCTCCCTCTAGGAAGCACACAAGCAGGCTGAGTGCAACAGCCCATGCTTCCAACCAACTGATATATCCCTCTCGTAGGTATCCATCATGACTAGGGGCAATTGATAGCCCTGTCCTCCATGAATTTGTCCACTCCCCCTTTTAAAGCCTTCCATGTTTTCCAGTCCAGTTACCTTTATTGGCATGTAACTATAATAGAGCCTTCCATGTTGGTGGCCATCACCACATCCTGTTGCAATGAGTCCCCCAGTTTAACTATCCTTGCTTCCCTTGGGACCATCTCATGTGAGAACCACACCACTTACCGTCAGTCAGTCCTTTATCGATGGGAGGGGGTGTGGCCCTTTCTCCCAAGCCATTTTGCCTTCGTAGTGTGCCCCCACGGGCTGTATATATGCAGACTGATTTGTGGTGAAATGATCACTTGATCACTTCTCTGGCTAAATCTAGAGTTGTGTCTTTCTCTCCACTATGGATGCCTGGGCAGACCACACCACAGCTACTCCAGAGGCACAAGGCCTCACTGTGTAAAATACAAGTATTGTGCGTAAATCCACTCAACCTACCTGTGTTCTCAACATACTAATCTGACCTTTGGGCCTAAAACACCTTTATCTTCCTGCCAGTTATTATTTGGTGTTTAGAACCTTGTCTTTCTTCTTCTTCTTCTGTATTTACAGACAAGCAAAATGCTGGCCAGAACACGAGCGCTTTGAGAGAGCTCCTGAGTCAACTTCCTGAGGCCCACTATAGCCTCCTGAAGTACCTTTGCCAGTTCCTGAGGAGAGTTGCTGAGCACCACACTGAGAACAGGATGACTGTTTCCAACCTTGCAACAGTTTTTGGACCAAACTGTTTTCAGTAAGTTCCTGGCTTAAACGAAACTCCCAGTTTGGAGCTTAAATTGGGACAGGATGTAGAGTTAGGGGGGGTTAGTGGCGCACAGTTGACTGGCACTAGAGCAAACTGTTTGAATATCATCCAGTGTGTATATTCTGGAGAGCTCCACTTTTCATTTTTAAAGAAAAGCATATCAGCCATCAGAGCTGTAGAGTCCCCCCCCCAATATGTAATTAAGCAGTTAAAATACATTGCAGTGGGACAAAAGGAGCAGTCCTGAGCAGGTCTGCTCAGAAGTAAACCCCATTTTATTCAATGGGGCTTACGCCAAGGAAAGTGTTCCTAGGATTGCAGCCAAGGTAGATGTGGACCCAGCACATTAAAGGAAGATAGCTGTTGGCAGTAATTAAAGAGGCTGGGTAGAACTAGGGTTGCCAGGCTGTCACGGCTCAGGTGGGGTGTCACCTGACGCTGCCACCACTCTGGTTCCAAGCTCCTCTGAGAAGGCCCAGAGCACCCTCCCAGGCCTTTAGACCTCCCTTTTGGCCGAATAATAGGCGTGAGGACCAGGCAGAGTGAACAATGAAAATAGTTTATTTTATAGGAGGTCAAACAAACAAGGTGCAGAATAATAACAGTAAGTGGGTGAAAAGAAAAGAAATCAAATGCCCTAATGTGTCTAAATATATACAGTCCCTAGCTCACTCTCAAGTGGCCTTAGACTACTCACCCTTCCCTCAGGATGAGGGTTTCTTCCCCACAGCGGCCTCAGTCCCTTCTGGCTCTATTCCCTGGGAAGAAGAACAGCTTTCCCTCTTGTACCAGTTCCTATATTCCCCAGCCCTCTTCTTCCCTATTGGTCAAAATCAGCGCCAAAACTTCCCAAGGCCTTCTGGGGTTTGTAGGCCCAGCCCTCCCTTACTGCTAGCCAGGCTCCCTGGGCCTAGTTGGCCTTTGGTGGCACAGCCCAGATCATGACACAGGCCTTCCTAGTTCTGTTGATTGTTGCCATTACTCATTGTCACTCTGAGTGTACAGCCTGGAAGTGACATGAGTAGCTCTAGGAATCACCAGAAACTGCATAGCTTTACCGTAGAGTTCCAGCAAGTCCTAGAGCCACCGATTTGTCACTTACAGGTGCTACGCAGAAGAGATCTAGTGACGTCAACTATGTTGCCAATATAACATGCTCTCCGTGTTCCCGCCCCCCCAACCCTCCCACTCGTTGCAAAGCTCTGCCTAGTAACTCTGGACAGAACCTTCACACTCAGGGCTAATTCATGTTTTAGTTCTGTAAATTCCTGAGCCTTGTCATATCTGTATTATGCTGGCAAGCATTTTAATAATTTAATAAGTCACAAGTCTGCGATCTAGCTCCCACCTGCACCCAGTCACTTTATTCCTGTGAGTCAGAACTCACTGAGAGCCAGTCTGTATTAAGGTGATGTGATGGAGAGCCACATGAAGCTTCAGTGAGGAGGCGGCGGAGGAGAGGAGTGAAATCACAGAGCTGCACTGACAAAGGAGGCAGGAAGGGCAATTTCACATTTCTCCCTCCTCATTGCAGCCCCCGATCTGTATGGCTATTTAGAATCATAGGATCACAGAACTGGAAGGGGCCATACAGGCCATCTAATCCAACCCCCTGCTCAGTGCAGGATCAGCCTAGACTAGCATCCCTGACTTGTCCATATCGGTCCAATAATTCTAGAATACTCTTTCGGTGGGTAGAAAGGGGTTGCAGAGAAGGAGAGGAACATGGAGAAAATCAGCCTCCTGTTGCCACTTCATAGGATCCAAAGCTTTGCCTGTAGAAGATTCTTAAACAGTTCAGTAGACCTGTCAGAACTTATTTTCATTAAGCCTAATCTTCCATTTCCTTCATTTCAGTGTGTTAGTACCTAGGACATGCATTCGTTCCAAGAGGCCAGACCTTTTGAAATGCATGTTGACAGTACTCTTTGGGTTAGATCCAGTTGGCTCTTCCACTGGTGAAAAAGGGAGTCTCCTTTGAAAATCTAGATTTGAGTCCAGTAGCACGTCAGAGACCAACAAGACTTTTAGGGTACCGGACCAAGGGAACTTTGACTCTCAGAAGCTCATCCCCTGAAAACCTTTTTGATTTCTAAGGTGCTCTTGACTTGGATCTAGCTGTTCTACTGGAGACCAACACGGCTACCCTCTGAAACGGTCTCCTTTGTCCATGGAAAACATTATGTTGGGGATCACGGGATTTGCATGAACAAAAGCAATGTGGGATGGGAGCTGCAATAAGGAGGGGAATTGGGTGAGACTGAGCAAAAGGCTGACTGGATCTAGCCTATGATAAGAAGGGATCTTCTTAACTGAGCAGGGGGGGGGGTGTGCATGTGTTAAGTGCTGACAAGTCACTTCTGACTCATGGCGACCCTATGAATCAGTGACCTCCAAAACACCCTAGCACTTGATAGTTTTTGGGGCAGGATCCATATCTCCATGATGTGACACATGCCATGCATAAGAAAGTCCAAGGTTCAGTCCTTGACTTCCCCAGTTAAAAGAGTTGGGAAAGGTCTCTTGTCTGAGACCCTGGAGGAACTCTGCCTGATTAATGGGCTGACTCAGTATAAACTTTGACCCTTTTGTCTAATGGCAAAGTTAACTTATCAAGATGCAGGGAAATAGGACTTCCTCCCATTTAACACTCACTTTTTTCCCCCCACTGGTATTTGATGTAAATTTGCTGTACTGTGTAAATCCTGTGAAATATTACGCTGAACATGGTGTGATACAAAATTCACCATATGCTGAGATGAGTTTGGGAGTGTGCTAGTTCAGATGTGCTGTACTGAGTAATATACCACACTGATAATTTTGTTAACGGAGGGCTGCAGTCCAAAAGAGTTGGGCAGTGCCGTTCTGTGCAGAGTTACTCCACTCTAAACCTGTGCAATTCAGTGGGCTTGGACTGAAGTAACTGCGTAGGATTGTGCTGCTAGTGAAGTTATCCAGTTCATTGGCTTCTTGTTTATTTTAATAGGCAGGTGTATTCATCTTCACTCTAAAAAATTTAGCTGTGGAATTTAAAGACAGTGCGCCTGACAGGAGGATGACATGACGGTTTTTAAAAGCATGGTATTAACGTTATTTGCTGTGTTCTTATCACAATGACACGGCACAATCTCTTCCTTGTTGCTGACCTTAAGAAAGAATCTCTTCCTAAACCTCTTGCCCTTTTTGAAATGCCGAAGTTTTAGGCTGCTACTGCTTCTGTAGATCAAGACTGCTTTTCTTTGGGGGTCAGGTTGTTTTGCTGCTAGTTTTTGTTTGTTCCTTTCCCCCGCTCCCTCGTGACTTGCCTGATTGTGGGACTGTGGAATCCACAGAGCGCTGGCCAGTGGGCAGCGATGAAAATGAGCAACTTTATTTGTGCGGTATGCAAATTGTTGTGTCCATAGCCTTGTGTGCGTTCATAGTTCCCAAGGCCAGCTAAAGTGAAAGGAAGGGGAATGTGGATGGGGGCAATGAGGGGGTATCATGTAGCACCTGGGAAAAGGTCTGTAGCTGCATTTTGGTGTGATGTGATGCTTGGGAGGGCTGGCCCTTAAAGTAAAAAACCCACCGATGAGTGGTAGCGTGTAAATTTGGCACATACCAGGTTCCAGGTTCAAACTCCAGTGTCTCATTTATGGGAAGGAGCAGCTTTCATGCCCATTTTGGCATAGTGGTAACCTTTACTAGAAAGGAGGGAAAAGAGAAAGTGATCTGCTCTGGTCTTTTCACTTTCACTTTTACCAGATTTAACAGCCAATAAGCCAATACAATATTTAACAATTAACAACAATAGCAAAGAAGAATTCAGCAACATCAACCGTGCAGGCTTTACAACGGTCAAGCTATCAAAATAACTTATTATAAAATGTTATAAAAATATAAATATTTATTATGGTGTACACATTAGTAAAAGATAAAATAGGTTAAAAGAAATGATCCAAAAATCAGACTCTTAAAACTTTCTACGTACAGAGCTGTTAGTTTCACATATACAATTGGTGGGTATATTTTATGACCAATAGACCATACGCGTTTCGGCCCCCTAGGGCCTTCCTCAGTGGTCAATATTACTATAAGAAAACAACATGCATGCAGAAATAAATATATGAAGAAAAGATTTTCTTTAAAGCCAGGTGTTGCTTTCTCATATGATGTGCAGTTGCTAAAAGTTTACTCAGGAGGCCATGGATATACTCTCATGGTAACTGCACACGCTCTCCAAATTGTTCTGATACCAAATTTCCAATGCCTCTGGATGTGTGTCTCTTCCATCAAAGGTAGTAATCAAGTTACAAAGGCCACTCAAAAACAATCATAAGTGATGGGTAGAAGTGGCTGAGTATTTGAACAACCCTTTTGCAAGAAATTTCTCCCTGGCAACAGTGTGTTTGGAACAATAAAAGAAGCCTGCCATAATGAATCAGCCATTGACAAGGAGCAATCATCTGAAGGAATCCCAGCAAAACGCTCATTCATCTGTGATGTAGGTTGGACATTACAGCATGCGAGCATATCTGTTGAAGTCTTTTAATAGCTGACAACACATACAAATGTAAAGACACAGAGAACTTGGACAGAACACCATGATGGATGAGTTGTTTGAACCCCAGCATGGGAACAGCAGGCTCTTTCTTCTGGAAGGCATGTCAGAGCTTTCTAATCCAGAGGGAGTTTAGGGTAGGGTCAATTGCTTAGGTTGCTTTTTAACTGTGTGTTTTATTTGTGTGTTGGTTTTGATGTTGCTGGACACATGTTGTGTTTGTGCCCTTGTTGTTTTTGCTGTTTTGTTAGTAGCCTTGAATATCTGAGGAGATAAAGCGGGATATAAATATTTGAAATAAATAAACAAGGGGAAATCAAATTGGTCACAGGAAGCTGCCTTATACTGAGTTAGACCATTGGTCTATCAGAATGATTACTGCCTGCGCTTGTTGGGAGAGACTGTTCAGGATCTCAGGTAGAGGTCTTTCCCATCACTTCCTATCCTT